TCTACTCTGTCCTGGGGCGTCCGGACAGGAGCAACGGAAGCCCTGGCAGCCCGACTTGCCTCCAAGTAGCTGCTGTCACTTTCACACGACGGTAAAACCCGTGAATTATAGGGAATTTCCAAGATAATAAAATGCATATTTATCCCTTGTTGGATATATATATTTTCTGTTCATAAGTCCCCTGTTCATGTGGAATTTCAATTAGCTGCTATTTTTTTTTCACATTTTTTTTTCTGTCGAGTCTTGCTAACCCAGACTTTCTTGGTAATTTCCAAAACTACAAAATGACAATAGATTCGCTGACAGGTGGAAGAAGGTATGGCTGTTCTCACCCGGTGTGCACCTGTTGCATTGTCCAATGCGTGCAAACCGGGTGGCCACTGGGGATCTCATGAGAGAGCCTTTTTTGCTCTTGCTTTCAGATGTCCGTGTCACCAGCACCAGGGTAGGTGATCTCGATGCTTCCAAAGCAAAACTTAAGAAATTCTATGTGGATTTTCCCCTCCTCTTTCTCCGAAGCTGAACGATCTTTATCTGCTTTATCTCACAGTTACGTGATGGGAAGTTTCTGGAGTGGAAACTCGTAAAAGGGATAAGCACGATTCAGATGTCACATCCTGTATATGTTCATGTGTTTGGGCTCAAAAAGATCTCCACAGCTTCCCTCGATGCTCTTCAGGCATGGGGAATGGTAAGAAAAAGGCAGTACAGGTGGTGTTTGAGACCTCAAGCCAGAGCCTTAAAGTTCGGCGTTGGTGGGTTTTTTTTTTTTTGTTGTTGTTGTTCTCTCTTTTATCTGAAGGATTTGGGTTTCTTTTCAGGATCCAATTAAAAATGACTCATGATTCAACTGGAAACGATCAAGGGCTCGCATGTCGCCTTTCCAGCCTGGTCTTGCTGCTGTCTGTGTTGCTGAGATGTTTTCATAAACACAGCGTCAAATTAGGAAAAATCAAACACCCATCAGAGCCGGCGGACTCACACTGCTATTAAGTGCGATGGAGAAGGAAGTTTCCGTCACCTGAACAGGAGCCTGGCTCCGCCCCTGCACACGTCAAGGGGTCACTGGCAGCCCACTGAGCCTGCCCGGAGCTGTCCATGGTTCTGAGGCACGCCTTGTATCTCCGCCGCTGACCGGTGAACTGGGGGAGATGTTTGGCAAACACCTGCACCCAGGTCTCAGGTAGCTCGCTCTCTTCAAATAAGGACAACCTTGGAAGCTGGACTCCTCCCTCCCTCTTGGAACTCTCCCTGCCAGTGAGGGCAGGTGCTAAGGTTAAGCACCCTATGCAGTCACCGGGAGAGAACACGGAGAAAACGAAGCTTGAGGGCCACAGGATCGCCTGCTTGCCTAGGCTGGAAGGAACCCTAGGTGGGGGTAGGGAGCCTGAAATATGACCCCGCCGTCTTAACTTTAAATAAGCATTGGCCTCCTCATAGAAGTCTCTCTCTAACGTCTCCTGCAGCTTGGATTTTGAACACGTCACATTCCTCATTAAAGCAATCACTGTTAAAACATAAAGCAACACAGGATTTATTTCTTCATTAAACTGATGATCCGTATATGAAGCCAATTAACATTATGAGTCTGGTGAACATCAAGTGTAAAGAGGTTAGAGAAAATTAAAAGCAGTCACCTTGGTCTTTAGATAAAGAAAGTACACTTTTAGGTTGTAAATTATCAGCGTGTCCAGGCGGGACCCATCGGTGAATTCGGTTAATTGGAAAATATTTCCCCCCACTCCCGGATGCACAAGAATGAAGGAAAAATAACCTTTTCGTTATAACGCCCTGTTTGGGGAGGGGGCGGGAAGAAGTAGGGGACCGTGGCAGAGACCTTATTAGTCGTTCTCCAGGCCCGAGTGTTGGAAGAATCGAGGGAAAAGAGGACTCCTCATCCAAGTTCGCGGCAGTTTTTTTGTTGCCGTGGTTGTTAGGCTGTTGATTCGCCGTGTGTTGCTAAACTGGAAGGAGCCCGGCATCGGACGAGGCGACGCCGGGGGGTCCCCAGCTGGCTGCCAGCCCCGTACGAGGTGGGTGTTTTCCCGGAGCTCGGCTGGTTGCAGGGTCGGGGAAGCGGCCAGGCTCGGGTCTTAGAGAAGCTTGGAGAGGCCGAGGGCAGGTGGCCAGGGGCGGCGGGGTTAGGAGCCGCGCGTCCTGAGCGCGCGTCTTGAGTTTAACTTTGGCAGATTCGGGCGGAGAAAGACTCAGGCTCGGTCCCCCGAGATCTCAGGACCAGGCCAGGCCGGGCGCGTCCCGTCGCTGGGCACCCCGAGAGACTCGCAGGGCGCTTGCTTCTCCCCCTGGGCGGGGGCAGGAAGCAGCGCCGCTGTCCAGGGTCCTGCCCGGGATGGGCGCGCGCTGCTCGCTGACTCAGGACTAGCCCATGTGCTCGCCTGAATCTCTCCGGATCTGAATTGGAATTGGCTTCGGTTGAAATCAAAGCACGGGGAGCTAACGCTGAGGCTTGGCCCTCTTCGGTTTCTGGGGCCCAGGCGGTGCCCAAGACAGACTCCGGCCTGCCTGTGCAACCGAAGCATCTGCTGGACACGTCCGGGACGCCTTCCTAGCCTCGCTTGGCGATTGCTCGGGTGCCGGGGCGCGCAGAGCGCATTGCCGGAGAGGGAGATTCAGCGGGTTTTGGGCAGACCCAGGGTCGCAAAGTAGGGTGGGCTTAGGGATTCGGACAGGGCTCCAGAGAGCAGGCGTCCTCTGTGGGAGACAGCGACAGGGGCAACTGTCGCGGGCCACCTCTGGGCAAGGGTCTTGGGAAAGGGATCCAGCCCTTTTCTGCACTATGTGGAAACCGCGTCCGCAGTTGCCCCGCAGGCCACGGCACCCAGCCCCCTGCACCTGCGGACGTGCCCCTCCCTGGGGCCCAAGCTGGCACCCGCGGAGCTGGCGCCAAGGCGGTCTTTTCGGCTCTGAACCCAGCCTGAGTTTGCGGCGGTTCCTTCCTTGCGGCGGGGCCGACTCTCCGCGCCGGGGAGCTGGCGTGAAACCGACCCTGGGTCGCCGCAAGCTGGAGCGGCTTAGCAGCGTCTTCCTCTCGGCGGGTTTTTGCGAAGCGTCCAGTGGCGAACCGGTGGCCCTGGGCGACGCGCCGGCCTCCGGCTCCACGCTCCTCGGCCCCCGAGGCGCGCTTCCTCGCGTGGGGCAGCGCGGAGGCGAGCGGCGGCCCGCCAGGCCTTTTGTTCGCCAAGTGCTGCGTCTTTAAGATCGGGGCTGCATCCCGGGGGCCGGGGCGGAGACCCGACCCATTGCCTCGCCAAGGCTCCCGCACGCGGCATCAGAGCGTTTATAAAATATTCAATCTGTGCAGTCTGCCCAAGAAGCCATCGTCCCGAAATAAAACGAGCAAGCAGTCTAGACGGAACCCAGACAGCAAAAACTTATCAACAGTTGTCTGACTTGCCTTCTGCGAGGCATCTTGAGTGGGTCATAATACCAACTTTATTTTCAGTGGTGCATAAATTAATTACACGCATTTAATAACCAAAATATCATTATATTCCCCCTTTAATATCATAAAGGCTTTCCGCCAGGGAAGCACTTAATAGTGCAAGGGCCGTAACGGGCTATTATCCTGGTGTAATGCTATTACAGAACCAATTATGCGCCATTAGACTTGCTTTTTTTTCCCCAGTTTATGTGACTTGATCCAATCCCGCGCCCCTGACTTGAAAATTTCAGCCCGGTACTTTAGAGTTTAATTTTCACCCAGGCAGAGAGAAGGGCGGTCTCTCTCCGCCGAGCGTCTGCCTCCGATGCGTTTTAAAAGTAATTGCGGAGGGTCCCACCGCATATCATTTACATCGAGCATTGAACATAAATTTAGGGACCCCTTGCTGAGAACAAAATCAAACTTTCCTTCTGTACGATCGCTGGGAAAGAGAAGCCGCGCGCACAGTCGCCCCCCGAACCCATCCGGCAGCGACAATTAGCGGCGCTTTGTCACTTGGCAGCCCCGGAGTGGCCGAGCGGCTGCTCCCACCCAGCGTGAGACCAAGCCAAGCGCTCCCAGGACGACAGGTTCGAGGCTGGGGGGTGGGGTGGGGGAGTGAGGGCAGTGGTTCCGGGCTGGGGCTGGGGCCGGGAGTTCAGAAAAGAATGGCTTCCCTCTTCCCTCGCCTCCCCCGGGGTGCCGCTTTTGGTTGTTTGTTCGGAGCCTCTTTTCAAACAAAAAAGGAGCAACATTCCCGATGTTTGCTGAGAAATGACAGATTTTTTTTTTTTTAACACCACGTGGGCCATTTGTAAGGCCCTGTAGACCTATCCAAGTTACTCGCTGTAGACAGCGCTGGAAATAATCAGATTAAGGCCAATTACGCGTGAGATTATAAAGGCAAGTGCTGAGCGGCGGCGCGCGCCGTAGACAGACAGCAAGACATCTGGCTACTGGCCGACCCACTTCTCCGGTCCTGCGGGCGCCCGCCGCGCCCCGCCCGCCCGCCGCCGGCAGCCCAGCCCCGCGTGCAGCCCGCGGAGAGCGCTCTCGCTCCAGCCTGGCGGCCCGAGCCGGCCGAGGTACGCCCGGCTCCGGACGCCTTCACTCGTAGGGTTCCCCGCTCCAGCCGGGTCGCCGGGTCGGGGGGCTCTGCAGCCTTCCCCGCTAGAGCCCACCGCGTGCGCGCTCGCCCTCTGTGGCCGAGCGCAAGGCTCTCGGCCGGGGGGGACTCCTGGAGAGCCGGGACCAGCGCGCGCAGCCTTGGGGCTATGGGTGAGAGATTCGGGCACAGTTGGCCAGGGAGTGGCCCCACCCCAAGCAAGGGCTGCCCCTGGAGGGGGGGGGGGCGCTGCCTTGTGACTGGTGGGCGCCCTCAGATTCTTTTCCTGTCCGGCAAGTAGGTCGGGAGGTGTTGGGAGCAGACCCTGGCCGGTGCGCCCCAGGGCTGCGCCAGGGCCCAGAAGAGTGGCACTTCGGCTCCTATCCTTGTTTGCCTTGCAGCAAGCCTGTCCGAGGATCTCCGGCCGCCGTCCAGCCCACCCGACTGTCGGCGATGTTCTATTTCCACTGCCCGCCCCAGCTGGAGGGTGAGTAAGCGCTGGGGCCCGGACAGCTCGTGCGAGGCCGGAGCGCCGCCGCCCCCGCGGGGCTGATGGGGGGGTGAGGGCTCAACTCCTGGAGGGTCGCAGCCTCCTGGCAGTGAGTTTGGGGCTGCCAGGCCCCCCCTTCGGAAACTCCGCTCCAGCCTGCGCCCCCCGTCGCCCCCATCGCCACCTGCCTCCCACCTCCCTCCCCGCCCAGGCCGGGGAGGCCCGCGGGCTATGCCTGTCAAGGGGATCGGCAGATGCTCGTGTCACGCTTCTAATCGGGGCTCCCCCGCCCAGGGGGCCACATCAATCTTTCACGGTGTTTTGCCAACATCCCGGAAAGCCAAGGCGAGCTGGCCAGGAAAGACCAGATCTGGGCGGCTTCCTCTCAGGGACCTGGCCCTCAGTTTAGGGAAGCTCAGCGCGGGTCTGGAGTTCCTTGATCACCTCTGGAGCCTACTTGGGGTCCCCTCTCTTGTCCCCACGCTGCCCTGGCCTGGCTCCCATCAGTGGGATTTTGAATCCCAAATCCAATTACCCTTCTCTCCCCCACTCCACCTCCCCCTCCCCCCCCGCCTCCCACCAAGGCCAAGGTTCTTATTTTTCAAAGTCTCCTGGCCTTGGATGAAATTATCTGCCGGATCCCTGCTCTTTGCGGCTTGGGGGGAGGGAGAAGTGTTGGAAAGGGCGCAGCTTGAGCCTCTGTGGACCTGCGGGACCCCAGGGTGGCTTCTCCAAGGAGGTGCACTCCTGTCCACGCTCAAGGTGAACTGAGGCCTTCCTTAGGACAAGCAGTGTCAGTGGGGCTTCTAGCAAGTCAATGCTGGATTCTCACTGAACAGCAGGAGGATTTGGGAGGTGAAATGCAGCGGGGCCTGGGGTAGGGCGACAGGCCATGAGATCCTTGGGAGGCAGAAGGTTACCTGAGAAGCGGACCTGCCCTGGTACTCGGAGCCGCCTCGGTGAGCATTCCTAGGGGCAAAAGGCCACACATTCCTCTGTGTTTCATCTCCTTTGCTCATGAAGACCCAGGCTGGATGGACTTCGAAGGACAGCGAGGTACACCTGCTGGCGCTCCATGTTTTGGAAGCATCCGCCAAGCTGTTGGTCAGAGCTGGCGTTGGGGAGTGGAGCAAGTGGCCAACTTTCTGCTGAATTCAGGGGAAAGGGCTTGACCGCCTGCAGGGCACGTAGTAAAGGGACTTGTGATCCATCCTGACCCAGCCTATAGGGACTCAGCTCTCCCTTTGAGAGCTGCCCAGCACCCTCAGCTCTGCCCCCTGCACGTTATGTGCCTCTCACCTGGGTGCTGAAAGGACCAGGCGCTTGGAGAAGAGCTTCACGTCCCACTGATCCCTTGGGTGGCTCTCTCTTTTCTTTCTTTCTTTTTTTTTTTAGTCACATCCACACAAGCAAGCGTTCTGTTTAGTCCTGGTGTGGTGGGGCGGAGGCAGTTGGCGCCATGGAGAGAGGCGCCATCTCTCAGCTTGGAACTTTTAATTTCTATTCTTGGAGAAAGCAGGGTGTGGCTGAGTTGGATGCTTTTGTTGATATGAAGTTCAAGTCTCATATGCACCTGCCTGAGAAGTTCAGTTAGAACGGCAACCTACGCAAAGAAAGGCAAAAGTCCCTTTCTGCCTCCTTTTCTAAATCCACCTGCCGTTGTTGGTTTCTTGAAAATCCCTCAAGAAAAAAAAAAAAAAGAAACGTGTTTGCTGTCATTTACATGTTGTCTTTTTAGGCTAAACCTTATGGTGCTGTGTGTTCTTTGGGGACTTCCTGGTGTCGCTCAGAGATCTTTCTAGAAACAGATTGGCGGATTTCTTCTCAACAGCTGTGTAGTATTCCATTACACGTGGGCACTTCACAGAGGTCGTGGGAAAGCAGAATCCAAAAAACCAATTTATTTTAGTGCAAATGCGTGAAAAGTTCATGCGTAATTATTTTCATAGTTGAAGATCTTGAATAAGTGGCATGGGAAAGAATTTGATGGTTTTCAGATTTTTTTCATCCTTACGTTAGCACATTTCATGAATGTAGTCATAGATCAGTGGCCTATGTGTGCGCTCACATTGTTGGTGGATATTGGTAAATTACCTTCTAATCAGATGAAACCAATCTGTACCAATCAGGTGGTGACTAAGCTGGTACATTTGATTACATCTTAAAATTTGTCCTGGGTATCTTTATGCGACTTATTTATTTATTCATTTATTTTTGTTTTATTTTTGCTTCAAAAGGAGACTCTCTGGCTTTTTTTTTTTTTTGCAAAATAATGGGAATAAGATTACTCTGGGATCATCCCTCTGAAAATTTGCAAAGAGCTGGAGAGAAAGATTCCCAAGTGGGTTCTGCAGTAGAATGCTATTTGGACAGGAAGATGGAGCGAGAGGAAAGCTTTCAGTAGGAACAGGAATGTTGCGGCAAAGGATAGGGCCCTGGGGTAACCCGTAGCTGGGAGGACTC